CTCCTAAAAAGCTAATTTTTAACGAAAGTCATGACATTATTATTGCACTTGTACTCCGAGTTGTACTCCAACATGGCGGATGTAATAATTGGCCACGCCTACTGCAACCTATCTATACATGTTGTATTGGAGAAATAACAAGCCTTAGCAACCACCCGCCCACGCTCCTTTAAGTGAGTGGGTGTGGTCACGGCAAACAAAATGGCGGCTTACACATGGGACAAAGTTAAGAGCTTTCTTACAGCAAGAGAGCATAAAGATAGTGTCTAAAGACTTTTCTAGAAGCATTAGAAGGTAGAGAGAACCTCTATAACTCTTAATAGTGACCAAGTTGTACTTGCTAGGAGGTGAAATCAATTATAGGAATATTTTTTACCCTGTTACGCTTGTTTAAAATGGCCGTAACTTGAAAAATTGAATTTGGAATCAGCTCAAACTTTCTACACAGCATATGTACATCAATATGTATCAGAAAATGTAATAAAAATTGGGGGTGATTTTGGAGCCATTTTTTGGAAAAAACCATGGACTATAGCCTTGGGTATTTTTCCAGATTTTAGCCCATTTTTTAAAAATGGCCGTAACTTTAAAAATTGAAGTCAGAATCAGCTCAAACTTTCTACACAGCATATGTACATCAATATGTATCAGAAAATGTAATAAAATTGGGGGTGATTTCGGAGCCATTTTTTGGGCTATAGTACAGGGATTTTTACAGAAATTGGGATAATTAAACTAACCTTGGAGTGTTGACGTGAAGCTTCTTCCTAGTAGCCTTAAACATTACAAATAATGTAATAATAGAGAATATTGACCATACGATGATCATCCTCCAGAAACTCAACTGAACACACAAATAAAATGGAATTATCCACATGCCTAATAAGGTAATGGCCTAAGAGAGAAAGGAGGAGGAGGAGAGAAATTAAAATTATCAATATTATATACTATCAAGAGTGGATAATTATTTAGGGAGTGTCTAACCTGCCTATATTCTGTGATACCACAGCGTGTATGTTTACATCCGTTTTTTGCAAGTATACAGAGTTAATCCCAGTAATCTTCAAATTTATGGGTGTGGCTGATAAAATGGCGCTTGAAGCATAGATATTAGAGTAAATGAAAGGGATTGGAAACTTCCGTGTTGCTACATTGACTTTATACATCGCTAGGCAACGGATGTGGGTTACCCCTTTTCTTAGCAACGGGTGCCAACTTTTAGCAAGAAAGCGTCTTGTTTATGACCTGTCAAAGGCTGTCATTAATCAGTAGTGTCATTGTTTGTCATGATTTATATGAAATAAAGTAGAGGAAACATGTCTCTATCCCCCAGACAACTTCTGTAGTGCATTCATCATTACTTACACTGATTTTTTGCTCTTAAATGACGGTGATTGCAACTACATTTTGTTTTGTACCTTTTTCTTGAAAGTGTTAAACAAATGATAACAACTAATTCAATCATTCAATAGAGCATCACTAGGTGGAGGTCACCCACTGTGTTTCATTTGAAAATATGATTTCATCTCTCTGTAATGATCAATTTACTGTTAAGTTTGAGAGGTTTGTTTTGTACCCTTAACTTAAAAACTAAATGGTCTATGACATCAACTATCACACTATTCTAATGCTTAGAACATACCGGAGGTCACTGGCACACTCTCAATCATGTAGATTATAAATTACAGAAAATATACAATTAAACATGTAATATGGTGATTAATGATTGACAGTGCTGATTAACAATGAATTCCAACTGCAAACATCATGATTGCCATAGCAGACTACTTGGGCAAGTAGAAAGAGTGTCCCTCTACATTACTGAAGGGTTATCTGTACAAAATAAGACAATATGCAATGCAACCAAAAACTAATGAAATGTATGCCTACCTGCTTCACTTCTCCAGCAATTTTCAATTTTACATACGATTAATTAGAGCAAATTGGCTTAAAATTAATACGGTATAGGTAACTAGCATTTCCAGCTGCGAACGGAAGTTTCCAATCCCTTTCATTTACTCTAATATCTATGCTTGAAGCATGCAGGCAACTTTAAGACTTATATCTCCACTCTGAGGATCATGTAGTGCGAGAAACAAGCAGGAGCAGACGGGAATATGTTCTTCTAATGGTTGGCTCTTTCTTATTTGCAGCCTTCTGACTTTGAATCAGTATAAGGACGCAAGAATGGCTACTTGGTGCTAATAACCATGCTATGTAAACTTATGCACTGTGGTATCACAGATTATACGCGGGTTAAGGCCCCCATACACTAGGCAACATGTTGCTTGCAACATTTGTGGTTACTTTGATCTTGCAAGCAACATGTTGCCTAGTGTATGGGGGCCTTTAGACACTCTCCCTAAATAATTATCCACTCTTGATACTATATAGGGCCACATTCTGATGCTGCTGAAATACAGTATAAGCAATAATTATGGAGGAACTAGCTAACTTGTATAAAATGCACATTTATATACTAACTATTATCATTATGATATTTATACCTTATTATAACCAACACATAAATGTACATTATTAGTATATCATTAGTACATTACTGTATATTATTAGTATACCATTAGTATATTATTAGCATATTATTACTTGTACATATGTACATGTATGCTGTGTCTACCTGGTATGATTTCCTGTGTTTTATTCTCCATAAGAAGAGTAGTACTTGTGCTATCCCAATAGATGCAAACAGTATTAATATCATTTCAGCATGCATCAGGTCATGACCTCTGTGCTTCTCCTCTAGCATCCGGTGACGTAACCTTTAAAAATATAGAAAATTATTATTTTTATAATTTATACATTCCATTAGTTATGTATCAAGATATGACTGTAGTCCTTTAGTCCTTAGACTTATTTTTACTAGAATTTTCGACCAAAATTTTTGACAAATTATAACCATGTATCTGGTAATTAATGGGCTAGTTAAAAAATTTTTTTCTTTCTGAAGTAATTGTGTGTGATTTAATTTTTATGTAATCATTCATACATTATTGATAGTGGTACTGTCAAAAAATTTTTTGTCCGGGGAAAAAAATTGTCCTAGCTCTATACTTCCACGTGTATTATAAATATAAACACTAAACCCCAACCCAACCCTAATCTAAACTGTACTGTGTATATATAGTAGCCCGGACAATTTTTGCCAGGATAAATTATTCCATGACAGTACTACTAATTATTATTCATGGTCTGAGTAATTATTGTATTTAATTTATTCATAATACAACAACTGAACTACATCAAACCTGTGTCTCTCCTCAGGACTGAATTTAGACCATTCTATCTTGTCCCAATCAAAAGATGTAGACTATTAATGATACAACAGTATACATGAATGAATATATAGCAGCTGCTACTTACTGCAACAGTGGAGTGGGTAGACAATGTAGCTTCTGACATTATTTTGAATTTTTATGCTTG